GGAGGGGCAGGTAGAGGAGGAGGTCAGGAAGGGAGGCTGGGGCTCAGGCTTCCTTCTTTGAAGTACTGGCTCCTTGCAGATTCAGAAATGTGAGAAGCTGGGGTGTCTGGTCTGCGAGAGGGTGAGGGGACCTTCCAGGAGCCTGACTGAAGAGGAGAGGAGGAGAAACGGGGGGGGGGGGATGGATGGGAAATGCAGGTGGGGCAGGGATACTGGTTGAACTAGGCAGCCTTCGGGGCCTCTAAGCGCTAGTTCAGCTGAAGGGGAAATCTCTTTTCTTACCCCTTCTCCAGCTCCAAAGTAAAATCACAGATACAGGGTTCTGGCCTCCAAGTACCACTGCCCCTCCATCCCGTGAGGGCGGGGGGAGCAGATCTGCTTTTGTGATTGGGGGTGGGGAGCAACCTCTTGGTCTGGGGTCTGTGCTCAGAGACAGTGGAGAAGTGAAGCCAGAGTGAGAACTGTTTTCAGGAAGTGCCCGCTTGCTTATTGATATGTAGGGAGTCACAGCCTGATGGGAGAGGGTAGACTCCAAAGCAGAGACATAGAGCAAAGCACCAGCTGAGATGGCCGAGCGGGGTTGGATTCTAAACAACAATTTGGGTGTTTTGTGGTTGTTTTTCCCCTTTGGGCAGAGGTGGAGTTTTAGGGTACAACTTATTTGAAAGGGTCGTCTTGTCAGACAATAGAATCAGGCTGGGGTTCAATTGCTGGCTGTGCCACGTCTGTGTTAGACACTTGAGCCTCTGTCCTCATGTGCTGCAAAGAAGCGCTGCTGTGTGCCCCACAGGTGTTTGGTGGCCAGATGTTTGCCTGACAAGCCCCACACCTCTTCTCAGATCTGAGGAAGGTTTTAGTTGGGGGTGGTTCCTCAAATAAGGAGAGGTCTTCAGAGATGCATTCAGCTCCCCTCAGCCCCGAGGTGAGTACCAGGGGGATTCAATGCCATCATTGAAAGAGTCCAGAAAGCCCCCCAGAAAACTGGAAAACTTCGAGAATTGGCAGTAGAAGGTACCTTTTGCCTCTGGGGTCTGGTTCCTGCTTCTCTCCCTCTCTGTGTTTGTTTTGGAATTTGCTACAAAGAGGTGGAGCCTCTGTGTTTAACAAGTGTCATTTGTTACCCTCCCCTACCTGAGGCTTGGGTGTGAAATGCTCCCCACAACCCACCCTGTCCTCTCTGCCTTGACGTCTCCCACTTCCTCAAGGGTGACCTACCAGGCATGTTGGGAGTTGAGCCCAGGCCACACGAAAGGATGCACCCTTCCTAGGGTCTGGGCAGGGCTTGTAAGTGGGCCTGGCCAGTCTGAAGTTGCAAAGGTACTACACTCAGTCTGGGAGAGGGGCTCAGACCTAGCTGATGATTGAATCAACTAGAACAAGGGAGATAAAGGCAGTCTAACGGTAACAAGCAGCCCCCAAATAGGTATTGGTCAGGTGTCAGGAAACCAGCTCTGAAGACAGGGTCAGGGAGGGTAGTCATGGTCGAAGTAATCAGGAGGGCTTCTTGGAGGAGGTGAGGACCTCAAGAAAAATAAAAGCCCTTTAGAACCAATCAGATGCTTTTTTTTCTCCTAAATTCTCAGAGGTTCCTGGGAATTTGGTGAGTCTTGGAGGGAGACATGGAAGAAATAGGACAGATGTTCTGAGAAATTTCTTAGGCTGTCAGCACCAGCTCCTTCAAACAATTTCTTGATTATTTATTTTGTGCAGGACAAAGTGCTAAGAGCTTCTCATTAACATCTCAGCGAATTCTCTGATCCTGTGAAATTGCCAGTTATTAACTCCACTTTACAGATGAAAAACTGAGGTTCAGAGAAGTTGAATTCCTGCCAGGCCACTAGTAAGTGTCTGAGCTGTCACTCAGCGTATGTCCCCCTGACTCCACGGCTCATACTCTTAGCTCCTTGGCACTGACTGCTCCCCGCAAGTGAGGCACGGGGGCGCTGGGGTGGGCCCTGCTCAATCTCCCCATGGTCTGGCTGGAGAGGTGACGTCAGAGCTTGCATCCCTGAGCCCCCGCCACCTGGGTCACCTTCCCCTGGGCTCCCATCCGAGGGTCAGCTCAGCTCCTCTGAGCCACTAAAGGGAGATGGGACAGTGGGGTGAGCGGGGCACTTCCTTCCTTAGGGAGACTCCACTCTGCCTTGTGTACGAGGCAGGCAGGAAGCAAGTTCCAGTCCCCCAAGGAAAGGATGCACTCAGACCCCTCAGTGCTCAGAATTCTACTCAAGTCAGGCAGCAAAGTGTCAAAGGCAGAGACACCCAGGCCAGGGGCATTGAAAGTGGGCATGTGAGTGTCAGTTTCACAGGGAATGCAGTTAATCACCAAGCCAGGCAGTGGGTGCTATGCCTGCTGGGACACAGGGCTGCAGGGGAGGGCAGCACGGTCCAGAGAGGTGGCGGGTTCTGCGGCAGGCAGCTCGGGAGGCCGTGCTGGCACGTGCACTGTTGGCTTCTGTAACCAGGTGGCTAGCACTGAAGGAAAGGGCACTGGAGGGGCAGGGGGCATTTCCTCAGGCCAATGTGTCTCCATCTTCTTTCATTCATTATTGGTCCCTTAAAGAGGCTTTCCAGATACTTTTTCCTAATCATGCCTCCCAGGGGATTTTAATGCCACAGCCATACCGTGTATCTGTTTATTAGGTGTAAATCTATCTGTGCTTTATAACTCAAAAGATTAAGATGTGGAGCAACTTATGACTTAGTGAGACAGTGTCTCAAAGTAGAAAAAAAAACCAGAGGGCTGGGGATGTAGCTCAGTGCAAAGACCTTGGGTTCAATCCCTGGTACTACAAAAGAAAAAGAATAATAATGAAGGTTTTTAGTGTGTGTGTGTGTGCTTCTTCATCAGAAAGCAAGTTTGGGGATGACATTGGTAACATTTGAAAAAAATGCCTAGGGCTCCCAGATAGGAGTAGGTGAGGTGGATTCATGGGCAGACAGAATCCAGAAGGTGGCAGGGAGGAGGACAGACTCACACCACGTGTGGGCTGTGGGCCAGCAGCTCCAGGCGCCCTGG